TGACTTATTTGTAGTGAGAGGGGGATTTGTAATAAAGATTTCAAGGTTTTAGGGTTCTTGAAAGAATTTGATATTCTAACAGTGTTGTGGCAAGGTTTTTTCTCTCTTTTTCTCTTCTCCTTTTTTTTCCCTCTTTTTTCTTTTTTTCTCCCCTTTGGTTTGTGTGACAAGAAGGTGATTATATAGTGAAAATTAGGGTAAAGAAAATGGGCTTTGAATGTGCAATTGAGCCTCCAATATTCACTTGAATTCGTCACTTTCCAGGCTAAATCGCAGGGACTTAAGTGCATTTTTTGAAGTTGAAATGTGAAAACAAAATGTAGCCGACATCGAGAACTAACTCCTGTCCGAAAATCGATTCAATCGGATAAACGGTGAATTAGTTATGAATTTTTGAAGTTTCAGCTCAGACAAACTTATTTTGGGCTCCAGTGTCGACTCTGACACGTTCTTCAATAAAAAACTGGTATTGATCGGTGCATAATCCGGTCTCGACTTTTGAAGCAAAGTTGTAGATCTATGAGCCAGTGACCTTGTGTAAAAATATGAGTCCAATCCGATAAAAATTGACCGAGTTATGAATTTTCGAAGTTTCGGCTCAGATGAAATAATATTCAGCATTCAGGATTTTCAGCGTGTCACGCACTCTGAGCAAAAAACGAAGGCCTTTTGAATACCGTTTGAACTCAATACCTTCTGTGAAAATGTAGCCAACTCAATTTGTGAAATTTTGGCACCGGAACCAGCTCGATACGATGAAAATCGACCAAGTTATGATTTTTTGAACATGACGCAAATAAACTTCTGTCACAAATTTCTGCACGAAAATACTTGATAAATCCACATTTTTGAAGACCTTCTGATCGAAATTGGCTTCCATCCGTGAGAGATGAAAATGTAGATAATGTCAAGACGGAATTTTGGCCACCGGAACGGGTTCAAAACGAGTCATGATCTTCAAGTTATAAATTTTTTAGCGCGTAAAAACTGCACTTTCAGCACACTTTTTCACTATATCTCTTCAAGAAAACTCACACATTCGGATACCTTCTTTAAAGAATTGACTCTTGAGCCGAACCTGAATTTGAGAATACGTTATCAGAGATATCTTGGCGAAAGAATACCTGAATATGACGCGCCAGGTTGGACTTGTGAATTTTTCTTGAAATGTTTTTTGAGAAATATGGGAGGACAAATTTTGGGGTACAACAAGTAGGTAGATAGTTTCTAAGTTACTTGCTCCATTTCAAACAACAATCCTTGCTATTTTCAAAAAACAAACACACACACATTTTAAAACATTTCAAAACATTTCAAAACATTTCAAAACATCTTACAAAATATTGAAACATTTTCAAAAGACAAACATCTTTGTATACATTCTTACGAACGAGAATCATTATAAAGATTGCCTAAATGATGGTCTCTTTTACAAAATACTTTCAAAAACCACACCAAACACCATTTCAAACAAAGCAAAACAAGTGATCTAAGCAAGTAACTAAGAGTCCATGGAAAACCATGGATGAAAAGGGTGCTAGCACCTCCCCTTTTCATAATCTACCCTCCGAACTCAAGAAAACATCTCAAAGGTCTTTCATGTGCTTTTTTACCTTTTCTTTTGGATAAAAGAAAAGTCGGCGGCGACTCTTGCTAATCGTGACATTTGCGATAAAACGCAAAACCTTAAGTCAGTTCTCCCACAGTAACACAAATGGTCTTGCTGAAAGAAGAAACTGTAATTTGTTTGATATGGTGAGAATCACACTGAAAGAGAAGAAGCTTCCTCATACTCTGGGGAGAAGCTGTTGCAACTGCATGTTATGTACTTAATAGATGTCCAACAAAGAAATTGAAGGAAATAGTTCCTATTCAGAAGTGGACTGGAGATAAGCAAAGTGTTAGTCATCTGAAGGTGTTTGGTTCTCTATGTTACAAACATGTCCCATACGCCAGAAGATAAAAGTTGAATGATAAAAGTAAAGTGATGTTGCTGGTGGGGTACCACAGTACAGGTTCGTACAAACTTTATTGTCTAGAAACTAACAAAGTTGAGTTTAACAGAGACGTCATTATAAAGGAATCACAAGTTTGGAATTGGGAAAGGTCTCGTCCTGACTCTGATGAGAGAACTCCTGAAGAAAAGTCAAAAACACATGTTTCTGAAGCTGGTAAAGACTCTGACTCTGAAGAAGATACAGAAGGAGAAGATGATTCTGACTCTGACTCCAGTGATGATCCAGACTCTGAAGATAGTCAAGGTTATGTAGAAAGTCCAATTTCTGATGCAAGTTCTTCTGAAGGGGAAAGTTCTGAAGGTCCAGTTCAGAGGCAACAAAGAGTCAGAAGCATCCCAAGAAGATTTGTAGAGTTTGATATGTTGCAAGACACTGAAGTAGACTCTGAAGGAGGAGTTATTCAGTGTGCAATGTTAGTAGACTCTGAACCTGTGAGTATGGAAGAGGATCTTAAGCAGTAAGTTTGGTTACAGGCCATGAAAGAAGAACTTGATGCTATAGAGAGAAACAAGACTTGGAAGCTGACAGAACTTCCAAAAGGCAAGAAAGCCATCATCGTTAGATGAGTTTCCAAGCAGAAGTTAAAGCCAGATGGATCAATTGGAAAACTCAAAGTAATATTAGTAGCAAGAGGCTTTCTACAGAAGCCTGAGCTGGATTACTTTGAAGTGTTTGTACCTGTAGCGAGACATGAAACAATTAGACTAGTAATTGCAATAGCTGCTAATAGGAATTGGCCTTTGATGCATTTAGATGTAAAATCTGCATTTATGAATGGTCCATTACAAGAAGAGACATACGTATCACAACCTCTCGGATTTGAGAAAAAGAATCAGGAAAGGATAATGTTCAAATTACACAAAGCCTTGTATAGATTGAAGCAAGCGCCCAAAGCTTGGAATTTGAAGATTGATTTGTTTTTCAAGGAATAATGGTTTCAAAAGTGTGAGATAGAGTATGTTGTTTATGTTCAGCATACTTCAGAAGGTAATATGATTCTGGTCTGTTTGTATGTTGATGACATATTACTCACAAGAAGTTCTGAACAAGAGATAGTTGAGTTTAAGAAAGTTCTAATGAATGCGTTTGAGATGACATATCTTGGAAAAATAAGTTTCTTTTTAGGGATGGGGTTTATGTATTCTGAGAAAGGAATCATTTTGCATTAAATGAAGTATGAACTTGAGCTTCTAGAGAGATTTAAGCTAGAAAATTGCAAAGTTTCTATCACACCTACTGATATGAATCAGAAGTTGGACTCTGATTCTGATGGAGAGTATGTGGATGATACAACCTTCAAACAGTTGGTTGGTTCTCTAAGGTATTTGTGCAATACCATACCTGATATTTGCTATACAGTTGGAATGGTTAGCAGATTTATGAGTAAACCAAAGTGGTTTCATTACCAAGCTGCTGTCGGGATTCTGAGGTATGTAAAGGGAACTCTGAAGTATAAAGTGTTATTTCCATCTGAAAGAAATATCGAATCATAACTTCTGAGTTATTCATACTCTGATTGGTGCGGAGGTAAAGTGGACAGAAGAAGTACTTCTGGGTACTTATTCAAATTTCTGGGAGGTCCTATTTCTTGGTGTTCCAAGAAGCAATCTGTTGTTGCGTTGTTAACTTGTGAAACTGAATATATTGCAGGTGCTCTAACTGCATGCCAAACTGTGTAGATTCTAAACTTGCTGCAAGATCTGAAGATTGAAGTAGACAAACCTATGAAGTTGATGATTGATAACAAGCCTGCAATCAATCTTGCCAAGAACCCATTGCTGCATGGGAGAAGCAAACATATTGAGACCAAATATTACTTTATGAGGAATCAAGTTCAGAGCGGAATATTATAAATTGTGTATTGTAGCACCCAAAAGCAGCTAACAGATGTTCTAACAAAGGCTATCAAGACTGATCAATTTCTTCGCTTGATGGATGAAATTGGTGTTGTCAGTTTTGGATAAAATATAAATTAAGGGATGATGTTAGATTTAATTTATATTTTGGGAATATATTTTGGATATTAATCTATATTTTAGGAATATCTTTTTAGAAGATATTATTATATCTTTTTATATCTTTATTAGAGGATATTTAAGATTTTATTTTGTGTATAAATAGCATAGTGAGGTAACTCAATGTAATTTATTGTAAATCATTATTCCTTATTTTTGTAACCGTCATTTAATATATTCTTTATGTCTTTCATCTCTTTTTTGTAAACCAACAAAATTATACATAAATTAAAAATATTGATTCATGACAAATCGAAACAACCTTTGAACACTACTACAAATGTTATATTCAAAAAAGTTTTTCAAAACATCTAAAATATATATACAACTTAAATAAAAACATGTCATTTCCGTTTAAATTACATAACATTCTCTATTATACTATTTATTTTCAATAATTCATTTTTTTTCCAGGTTATCCACTATTACTTTTTCTGTAAAAGAAAATATGAACATTCTAATTTCACTATTATTCTTTTGTTGTAGTTTGTTAAGGAAACTCTTTAATTAACACACAATCAAACGAATGTTGTCGACATGTTATTTATTTCATAAAAAAAATATTACACCAGAAAGTTTATACCCGATACACGAGTTTGTTCCTAGTTAAAAAATGAAAAAACACACATGGAGGCGTGACATGCGTATTGCCGCTTGTGCCACTCCAAACTAGACACGAAACCCAAATTTTCTCAATTAAATGACTGGCGGTATCCATCAATTAAATGACACAATCGAGTAAAATACCCCGACGGCATTACCGTAAATAAACCAAAAAACCAAGGGCACGATCGTCCATAAAATATCACCCGTATAACTTCACAAAAACGCGAATCGCGACACACCCAACACACACCTCACTCTCACACTCACTCTCTCTCCATTTCCACCATCACACCAATTTCGTTTTCATTTCACCCTCTGCATACATTCTGAAACCATTCTTAGGGTTTTTCGTTTCGCAACGATGGCGAGAGTAAGAAAAAAATCTACTCCCGAAGAAGATGAACAAGGTGAAAAATCTCCTCATTGCGTTTCACTAGCTACGCACATTACAATTATAATCGATTTTTTTTTGTAATAATTTCATTTCTATGATTCTGATTCTGATTCGTGTTTCTGGTTTTCAGAGAAAATACAAAGGAAAGGGAAACGGAAATTAGCTTCTACCGTCGACGACGATGATGGTAACACAGTGAAAGAGTTCATTTAGGATTGTATTCAATTTCTTGTTGAGTAGTTATTATTATTGCATGTGTTGATTTTTGAACTTTTTTAAGCATAAGTGAAAAATGTAACAATGCTCTTATACCAAAACGCGATGATGCTAATTTTATTTTAGATATGATCAAACGATTTTTGTTTATATTTTATTTTTGATTTTTTGAAGTATATGTGAAAGGTGTTTTTGGTACTTGTTAAGTTGTTATGAAGCACTTGCATGAACATGTATTGACACTTAGAAAATGGTATGTAGCACTGACACCTTGGAAAAAAAAGGTGTGTATGTGTCGGGTACCTCCGTCAACACTTGTGATAATGTTTAATTTTTTTTTTAATATGTGTCGAGGTCATGTTCGGAGTGTCTGTGCTTTGCAAGTATAATCTAAGAAAATATAAGTGATTAAAATTTAAAAGAATCTGCATGTGACTGTGTCACGAGTGTTGGACTCCAGCATGAGACATACCTTCAATCCAAAGTGTTTGTGCTACATTTATTAATTGTTTGAACAAGAGATTAGTTTTATGTATTATTATAGTGATGTGTCATATTTTTTTAATTATACAGTATTTCTGGGCGGGGTTTGGGTAGCATGTGAGATTTATAGATGGTTTGAGAGAGTAGTACTACTGAGAATGTTGTTGGAAAATGTTTTGACGGTTTATTTTTCTTGTCTTGGTGAAGCAGATGAAGAGATGGATGAGTTTGAGGTGGATGGGTTTTTAGTTTGTAGTGATGAAGATGAGGAAGATAGTGGTGAAGGAGATAATTCTAAGCAATCACAAAAGAAGAAAAAGAAAAAGTTATTATATTTTCCTACCCTTTAATGCAAGTTCAATTTCTGCATTGCTTAGGATTGACTCAATACTGTGTGTTTGTGTTACCCATTTTCAGGAGATCGTCGAAAAACATTGTTCTTGACGATGATGATCTTGAGTTGATCCGTGAGAACAAGAAAAAAATGGTTAGCTTTTGCTTCTTTATAACTGGTACTTCAATGATTTATAAGCATCAGAGAGATTGCTTTTTAAAATTTATCTTATTTCTTCATTTGGTATTCGTAGAATGATGGAAAGCTCAAGAGGCTTAAAAAGACTGGTGGCAGAGTTACCGAGCCGATGGAACAATCTTCTGATGATGAAGGTGATCAGTATCAGCTTGTTGTTTCATCATCTTGCATCTTGCTTCCATTTTTTTAATGAAAATTCAAGTTTCATATGATGGCTGCTTGTTGGACAAGTGTGACATGATAGCCATCAAGCTGTTTGGAACAATTATGCCATGCATATCTTCAGTTTTCATCTGGAATTTTTTTCCATTTACTATTGTTTGCAAATTAGTTTAAATTTGAATAATCATCCAGGATCTATTAATGATCTTTTCGAAGAGTCTGATGATGCTAAAGATGATATGTCAGATTTTATAGTGGACGACAGGCCTGCTATCTATGGGAAGGGAGATTCTCTCAGGTATACTATATCACGATTAACATGAATGACTGGATAATATACTGATAGGTTTTATAATGTCTTGCTGTTATTTATTAGCCCTTCAATATTGGATTTTGTTGTTGACTTATAGACCAAAAAAGTTTAAAGGCATGAAACATTCATCTTCACTTTCAAAAGAAGCCAAACGATCTGGCAAGTCAGGCAATGATCCTAAAAATATGGACGTAGCTGGAGAGGGTAGCTCTGTCGCTGATTCAGACTTACCTGAGAGGATACAGGTCGCTTTCAATGTTTTTTGTTCATCACAAAAATATCAGTTGTCAATCATAATTGTGATTTAAATTTAATCTATTTCTAATTTCTACAAATGATTTAAATTTAATCTTTCTCTAATTTCTACTAACGATTTAAATTTAATCTTTCTTTGATTTCTACAGATGATTGAGGACATTGTAGGATCTATTCCTGTTGACAGAATGAGTATTGAAGAAGAAAGTTCTTGGATACTACGCCAACTTGCATCCAACATAAATCCATTGTTCAGTGAGGCCAAATCCTGTGGACTAGGTGATTCAGTAAATAGGGACGATATTGTTAGGTTCTTGGAATTGTATCATATAAAGAAATATGATGTAAGAGTTACATGGATTAGATTACTTTTTTTGGTCATGTGTGACGAGCAAAATTCCTTTAATTTTCTAAAGTTTCTTTTTTTCTGTTTTAGATTCCGTATATTGCCATGTACCGTAAAGAACAATGCCCCAGTCTTCTGAGAGATGGTAAACATGATGACTCGGAAAGCACTTTATTGAATGATGGTGAGGGAAAACCTAAACTGAACTGGCACAAGGTAATTTTAATTCTGTTTTTATTGTTTGTATAATATGACTTATGCTAGAAGTAGTTGCATTTTCAATTTTTTAAGGATTTATATGTTGCATTGGAAAAAATATAAATTGTTATAATTGAAATTAAGTGAATTAAAGAACTCTATGCATAACGATATAAGAGCATGATGAAATGGGTCCATTTTGAGTGTAGATACTCTGGATAATCAAGGAATTGGACATAAAATGGCTACATCTTCAGAAACGAAAGAGCATGCTCCAAAGATACTATAACAAACATTTTGAGGATGAATGCCAAATGTCTTTCCTTGCCGAAGAATCCAGTTTCCACAAGCAGATTTTTGACTCGGTCACCAATATGCTCGAGAAAGCTGAAACTGAGAAAGAGATTGATGACGTTGATATGAAGTTTAATTTGTATTTTCCACCAGCTGACGAGTTCTTAAGTAGTGGTTATAAAAGGCCTCTGATGAAGACATACTATTCCGATTGCAGAAAGGCAGGATTGTCTTCACTTGCTAGGAAAATTGGAAATCCTGAGAAATTTAGTTCTCTAGTTATTCTTAACAAGGTGGTAAATTTTTGCTTTTGTTGGCCTGTGCCTTAATGTTTTCATAATTCCATTTTTTACTTTTATTGATAAATAACTGGAGAATTTCTTGTATACTAGGGAATTGCCAGTGAAGAAGATCCAGAGGAATCTCCAGAGGAGATGGCTGCAATATATACTTGTGAAACTTTTCAAACTTCAGAAGCCGTACTTAAAGGCGCCAGGCACATGGTATTCTGTTGAGTTTATCCATTGGTCCTCCATAACTTTATCAAATTAATTTTTCATGGCTTAGCTTACACTGAAATTTTATTTTTCAGGCTTCCTTGATGTTAAGCTGTGAGATACCTTTCAGGAAACATGTCCGCAGCATATTTATGGATAAGGCTTTAGTATCAACTAGCCCTACATTGAAAGGAAACATAGAAATAGATTCCTTTCATGAATTTGCTGGATTTAAGTGGCTGAAGGACAAACCTCTCTTGAAGTTTGAGGATTCTCAATGGCTTCTCATTCAGAAGGGTGAAGAAGAGGAACTTCTTAAAGTTGAAATAAAGTTGCCTGATGATGCTGTTGAGGAGTTGATGGCAGTCTTCAACGATGCTTATCTCAAAGACAGTGAAGGAACATCTACTCAACTTTGGAACGATCAGCGTAAGTCAATCCTGCAGGATACTATTTCAAGCATTCTTTTGCCTTCTATGGAGAAGGAGGCACGGGCATTGTTAAATGCTAAGGCCAAAATCTGCTCATTAATGAAGTATGGGATGCAGTTTTGGAACAGAGTCTCTGTGGCACCGTATCTAAACAATGACAATGCTGCTGCACAAGAGCGGGGAGTAGTGGCGTGTTGCTGGGGAAATGGTAAGCCAGGTACCACATTTGTCATGTTGGATTCTAAAGGTGAGTTGGTTGATATAATGCATGCCGGGTCACTGACACTGCGATCTCAGAATGTCAATGACCAGCAGCGCAGAAAAAGTGACCAGAAGTGTGTCCTTAAGTTCCTAACAATTCATCGACCAAAGGTTATTGTACTAGGAGCTGCCAATGCGACCTGTATACGGTTGAAGGAGGACATCAATGAGGTGAGTTATTCTTACATCTTACTGGACGAACCACTTTTTTTTTTTTTTGTATTATTCGAGTTTAATCCCATCTTCCCATTGAGTGATGGGATTTTATCCTGAACTGGGGTGCGGGCATCTCAATAAGAGAACTGTATTCGAGTAGGTTCCAAATGACACATTAATGCACTACACAAATGTTTTTGTTGTATTTCTTTCTAATTAATTATCTTGGGTTGCACGTCATATACCATTCAGATTTTCATGCGGAAGGAAGCAAGTGCCTTGCTGAATGCTAAGGGTAAACTTCATAGTCAATACAGTATGCAATGCTAAGGCTAAACGATTGTGAAATTTAGTGATATTAGGGTTATTATAGCAGTTTAGTTTAGTACTAGAGTTAGAACTTAGAAGTAGTAGTTTGCTGCTTTAGGTTGTAAGTACTAGTTTGGTGGTATGTGGGACATAAGTAGTAGTTTAGTGGTATTATTAGGGTTAAGAGTGTCTGTTGAATATTGCTGATACGAAGGCTAATACTGGTTATTAATTTAGGATGCATTATGGAGTGTAGTCCCTGTGGCTGTGTGAGATACCCTTATTTTTTGAAATAATTTGTTTTGTTACAAGGATAATGTATATTAATATAATGTTTATGCGAGTGTATATATATTTATATTTATTGGGATTTGGGAACATGATAACATATTTAATATATTCACCTATCTTACATTTTATAGAGCAAGAGACTTGCTGATGCAAAGTCTAATACTGGTTAGTAATGTATATATGGGATGCATTATGGAGTGTAGACCATGCGGCTCTGTGTGAGAGACCCTTACTTTTTGGAATGGTTTGTTTTTCTATGAAGCACGGACACCCCCAAACATGATCCTGACACTGACACAACGACACTGGTAGTAATTTGAAAAAAATGAATAATTTAAAAGTTATCCCAAGCGTCGGTGCAGGTGTCTGACACAGACACACCTTTTTTCAGAGTTGTCGATGCTACATAGTTTGTTTTGCTACAAGGATAACATGTATTAATATAATATGTGTGTGTGTTCTATAGCTATTCTGGGAACATGATAACATATTTAATACATTCACCATTGCCACATTTTAGAAAGCATATTTTATCTAAGACTTCACATCAGTTTGTAAATGTGGTTTTGTTAGTTTACTTGAGTAATTCCTTTTATGTTTGAACTTCCTTAATGAGTTGTAGTTCCTATAATTTATAGCATTCTGCATTTTGCAATCGTTCTGCATTTTGCAATCACGCATTGGAGGTTATTAATTTTCGCCTATATAATAACAGTTTTTAGATGTCATCTTTTTTGTTGATAAGTAACATTGATGCTGTATGTTAATCATCTTTGGTTTTTTGTTACTTGTGCTATTTAGTTATATTATGCAGGGGTGGCAAAATGGGCCCGGCCCTCCGGGCATGCCCGTTTTGCCCTCATTTTTTAGCGGGCTGAGTCAAGATTTTAGGCCCGCACTCGCCCTGCATTTTTGCGGCGCTGACAATCTTATGAAAATTTGCAACTTTTTGGCTTTAGGAGTGCAGGGCCACCCACATTCTTTTTTTGCGGGGCAAGCCAAGTTAAGGTTCACACCCTCCACGATGCCCACTCCGCTCCGTTTTTGTGGGGTGGACCTAAACATGGAGGGCATGCCCCGTTTGCCGCCCCTAATATTATGCACGAATTGGCACCTTTATTTTGTTGGTAGATACTACAATTCAATGAGTTTTATTAAATTATTATCATTCAGATTATTTCAATGATGTCTGAGGACAATTTTCAAGACGTCAGTCAAGAGATGAGTGGACCACCAGCAGTTGTATTGGGGGACGAAGGCTTGCCGCATCTCTATGAAGAGTCTGAGATATCAACAAGCCAGTTCCCCAGACAATATGGTAATCAATTTAATTATTTTTTTTTGAGCCTCCATTTCTTCTAAGTTTTTATCATACTCTTTCCTGACATTTAGGAGTTTCTTTTTGGATAGTTATACATTTTTCAAATTTTGTAGGCGTTGTAAAGAGAGCTGTGGCCCTTGGACGTTACCTTCTAAATCCACTGGCAATGGTTGCAACACTCTGTGGAGTCAATAAAGAGGTATCATCTTGGAAATTAAACCCTCTGGAGAGATTCCTATCAACTGATGAGAAAATGGAGATGATTGAATGGATCATGATAGATATTACTAACCAAGTAGGTATAGACATAAATATGGGAATTAGACATGAGTGGCTGTTGGCACCTTTGCTGTTTGTTTCTGGTCTTGGACCCACGAAAGCTGGTGTTTTGCACAGAGAACTACTTGGAGGTACAGATGTGAGAAATCGGAAGGACTTGGCCAAATTTGGACTGAACACAAAAAGGGTTTTCTGCAATGCTGTTGGTTTTTTACAGGTTTCTTGTGATGAACCGAATTTTATTGATACTGCTGGCAATATCCTTGACCGTACAAGAATTCATCCAGAGTCATATAGTCTTGCTGAGGAATTAGCTAAAGCTGTTGTTACTATAGATTATGCTGATGCCAATGATACCCAACTGAATGCAATTGAATGTATTCAAAATGATCCAAAACTGCTAGAGAGTTTTGATCTTAATGAATATGCTGATAGAATGGAAACTGAAAAAGGTGAATACAAAAGAGTTACTCTTTTTGACATAAAGATGGAACTAGTCCATGGTTTTAAAGATCCCAGAAGCCCTTATCAGGAACCGACTCAAGAGGATGAGTTCTACATGGTAACTGGAGAAACAGGGGTTGCACTGATTGAAGGAGAAAGAGTTCAGGCAACAGTTCGTCGTGTACTGGCTCGTCAGGCATTCTGCGTGCTTGAATCTGGAATATCTGGAGTACTGTTTAAGGAGGACTTTTCAGATGATATTGGGGATTTACCGTTGACAGAAAAATTGCGCGAAGGCGTTGTGCTGAAATGCAAGGTCAAACTAATTGATAAGAGTAGATGCCAGGTTAATCTGACATGTAAAGTGAGTGAGTTGAAGAGTGTTGGTGATCAAAGTTTCCACGACATGGATCCCTATTATTGTCAAGGGAACATCAACTTGCTAAGTCAAAAAGAGTCGACAGACAAAAAGGATGTAAATAAAAATTTCTTGTCGAGAAAAATTTCTCATCCCCATTTTCAGAATATAACTGCAGATCTGGCAAAGGAGGTATATATTTGTTGCTTGATATTTGTATTAATTTAATTTCCATTTCCAGTCACTTCAATAAGATATTTATTTCATCTTTTCTTTATTGAATAGTTCCTTGCAGATAAGGCCGTTGGGGAATATATTTTCCACCCAAGTTCAAGGGGTCTATGTTATTTGACCCTATCTCTTAAATTTTTTGATGCACTTTATGTACACAAAGACATTTTGGAAGGTGGGAAGAGTGATGATATGGATAGCTTGGTTGAACTTGGAAGGACATTAAAAGTAGGAGATGAAATATTTGAGAGCATAGACAAGGTCAGTATCCTTAACTCAGATATCAGACGGCTTAATCCTATGGATGTCTCTGTTTTCTTATATAGGGTTCCACTTTTGGGTTCATACATGTCCATTTATCACTCTTAAAATTTCTTCTCAGTGTGCGTGTTTATGTCTCCTTGAACAAGTCATGATATGAAGGTCAGGGATTCTGGGATTATGGTTTTTGATATCATGATATACTACATCATGCACATATTTTTTGCACAGTAAATAAATGGCAATACGTTTAGAACATGTTTGTTAATTTGTCAGGGATAATTTATTACCTTGAGAAAATTTTTTGTTTGCATTTGTTTATCTAGAAATTCCCTTCTTTTGTTCAGTCAATAATTTTCGCTGCTCTGACAATAGGTTATTGAGCTCTATGTCAACCCATTGGTAGTTCATCTGAAAGATTTGATTAATTTCCGAAAATTTAAGAGGGGTACCAAAGCTGAAGTTGACGAACTGTTGAAACACGAGAAGGAGGAATATCCAAACAGGATACCATATGGCATTGGCATTTCATACGAGCATCCTGGTGTTTTTATATTGTTTTACATTAGAAGTACAAATCCGCATCATGAGTTTATTGCAATTCATCCAAAAGGATTCAAATTCAGGAAGCAAATATTCAACAATGTTGAGCAGCTGATGGCATATTTTCAAAATCATATCAATGATACACGAGCAAAAGACCAATCAAAAGGTAAATCAAGATATCTGTTTATCTACTCATTTGAGCTAACATTTTATATTTTGACATGTTTTTAAAACTTGATTAAATTTATGTCCTACAAATATTTAAATTTGGGGAATTATTCAAATTTATAGGTACTTGTTTCAAAATTCATTTGATGATACAATCTCTTGACCTTACTATTTTCATTCGTACCAAAACCTTCTTTCATTTATAGCTCTGAAGCTAAGGCTGAATTCTGCTGTTTTCACTAATAAACATAATGAGCCTTTCATAACTTTCCAAGAAACTAGTGCCTTTTTTTGTGCCTTAATTAATAGATTATTGTTGCACACAAATTTGGATAATCTATGGGGCATTTATATTCTATATTGTTTGCTTTTATATGTGCATCCTGAGGTCATTACTTCCATATAATGCATATTTAATCTAGTGTTATAAAAATATGAATAGGCTCTGTATAAGCTGTCTACATAATATTAATACTATGTTGGGAATTGCTTTTCTTTCAAAGATATGGTGAATGCCAAACATGAATATGCTGGTGGTTGGTGGATTTACTTCCCAACTTCATATAGTGGTTATCTTCATGGCATGACTTTTTTAGTTAAGAGTGACATATTTCAACTACATACATGCATGTGCATGAAATATTTGTCTATTTTGTTTCAGGCATCCTACAAATTTCATCATCATAAGTATTGTTTCACTTTTATCAAAATTAAGTTTTTATTTGTGTTTCTCAGCAGTTTGTTCTTCTGGAAACTATATTGTTGTCATGGTTTATTTGTTTTTATTCCAGTACACGTTCATTTTTATCATAATGTCAAATGTGTTATCATTACTCATTCAAACATTCCTGGTAGAAAGTGGCAAAAGTTCATCTTTAGTTTGGAGGGTTTTAAGTTCTATGAACATAAAATTTCCAGGGAGATAACATTATCGATACTTTTACTCCATTTCTTGTTTGTGTAAATTGGTTGGTCTGACTCGTCTATTTTATGCCTTTCAGATTACAATGACAGTGGGGGTGGCCGCGGCCGCGGTCGTGGTCGTGGTGGAGGTGGTGGCTCATGCTACAAATGTGGTGAGTCGGGTCACATGGCTAGGGAGTGCACTCAGGAGGGCGGTGGAGGTGGGGGGAGGGGTGGTGGTGGTGGAACATGCTACAAGTGTGGTGAGTCAGGTCACATGGCTAGGGAGTGCACTCAGGAGGGTGGTGGAGGTGGAGGGAGGGGCGGTGGTGGTGGAACATGCTACAAATGTGGTGAGTCAGGTCACATGGCTAGGGAGTGCACTCAGGAGGGTGGTGGAGGTGGAGGGAGGGGCGGTGGTGGTGGAACATGCTACAAATGTGGTGAGTCAGGTCACATGGCTAGGGAATGCACACAAGAGGGTAGTGGAGGTGGAGGGAGGGGTGGCAGCAGTGGTGGAACATGCTACAAATGTGGTGAATCGGGTCACATGGCTAGGGAGTGTACTCAAGAGGGTGGCGGAGGTGGAGGGAGAGGTGGTGCTGGAACATGCTACAAATGTGGTGAGTCGGGTCATATGGCTAGGGAATGCACTCAGGAAGGTGGCGGAGGTGGTGGTAGAGGCGGCGGTGGTGGAACATGTTACAAATGTGGTGAGTCAGGTCACATGGCTAGGGAATGCACTCAAGAGAGTGGTGGAGGTGGGGGATGGAGCAGCAATGGTGGACATAGAGGTGGAAGAGGCCGTGGCCGTGGCCGTGGTTCTAGCTATAGTTCTTTATCTCATGATGATAGCGTTGATGTCAATGATGGGGGTGGGTTTGGTACTTCAAGTGGCGGGGGTGGATGGGGAGGAACTGGTGGTGGGGGTGGATGGGGAAGAACTGGTGGTGGGGGTGGATGGGGAGGGACTGGTGGTAAAAGTTGGGGTGGAAATAGTACAAATGAAGAAAGCAATCCCGACAAAGGTGGTTTTGGGGTCACAGCTGCAGATAATGGTGGATCTGGAAATGATAATGGTAAAAGTTGGGGTGGAAATAGTTCTAACAAAGAAAGCAACACAACAGAAGGTGGTTGGGGAGTCACAACTGGATCTGGAAATGAAACAGGTGGTACAAGTTGGGGTGGAAATAATACTAACAAAGAAAGCAATGCAACAAAAGGTGGTTGGGGAGTCGCAGCTGGATCTGGAAATGAAAACGGTGGTAAAAATTGGGGTGGAAATAGTACCAACAATGAAAGCAATACAACAGGAGGCGGTTGGGGAGTCACAGCTGGATCTGGAAATGAAACCGGCAGTAAAAGTTGGGGCGGAAATAGTACTAAGAAAGAGAGCAATACAACAGAAGGTGGTTGGGGAGTCACTACTGGATCCGGAAATGAAAATGGTGGTAAAAGTTGGGGTGGTAATAGTACTAACAATGAAAGCAATACAACAGGAGGTGGTTGGGGAGTCGCAGCTGGATCTGGAAATGAAACTGGTGGTAAAAGTTGGGGCGGAAATAGTACTAAGAAAGAGAGCAATACAACGGAAGGTGGTTGGGGAGTCACAGCTGGATCCGGAAATGAAAATGGTGGTAAAAGTTGGGGTGGTAATAGTACTAACAATGAAAGCAATACAACAGGAGGTGGTTGGGGAGTCGCAGCTGGATCTGGAAATGAAACTGGTGGTAAAAGTTGGGGTGGAAATAGTATGAGCAAAGACAACAATGCAACTGAAGGTGGTTGGGGAGGCACAACTGGATCTGGAAATCAAAATTCTGGATGGAGTTCTGGTCAGGGGAAGAATGCAGCTCCCTCTGGCGGTGAGAGTGGATGGGGAGGGACTACTGGTGAGAGTGGATGGGGAGGGACTGGAGGGAGTGGGGGTAAAAGTTGGGGTGGAAGTAGTACATATGAAGAAAATAATACAGCAGAAGGTGGAGGCAGTGGTGGACGAGGAAGGGGTAGAGGTGGTGGGGCGTGCTTCAAGTGTGGTGAGTCGGGTCACATGGCTAGGGACTGCACCCAAGAGGGTGATGGAGGTGGAGGGAGGGGTGGAGGTGGACGGGGAGGTGGTAGAGGTGGTGGGGCGTGCTTCAAATGTGGTGAGTCCGGTCACATGTCTAGGGAATGCACCCAAGAGGGTGGTGGAGGCGGAGGATGGGGAGGCGGTGGACGAGGAGGCGGAAGAGGTGGTGGGGCATGCTTCAAGTGTGGTGAGTCAGGTCACATGTCTAGGGACTGCACCCAGGAGGGTGGTGGAGGAGGATGGGGAGGCGGTGGACGAGGAGGCGGAAGAGGTGGTGGGGCATGCTTCAAGTGTGGTGAGTCAGGTCACATGTCTAGGGATTGCACCCAGGAGAGTGGTGGAGGTGGAGGATGGGGAGGTGGTGGACGAGGAGGCGGAAGAGGTGGTGGGGCATGCTTCAAGTGTGGTGTGTCGGGTCACATGTCAAGGGATTGCACCCAAGAGGGTGGTGGAGGTGGAGGATGGGGAGGCGGTGGACGAGGAGGCGGAAGGGGTGGTGGGGCATGCTTCAAATGTGGGGTGTCTGGGCATTTTGCGCGAGAATGCCCATCCAGCACTAGTTGAAGTTCAATACCTACTGTTTATATGATAGTTAATCTTTTACAGGTGTATATTTTAATGTATTTTAATTTCAAAGTTCTGTTTTGTAATAGTTTTAGTAAGGGTTTATGCTGGATCTCACCACTTATGCTAACTCCCATTTTTTTTTTATAATAACAGGTTGGGTGTTATTTTGTTTTTGTGCTTTATGACAAGGTTGGATTTTGTGAAAACCTATTATGGCTCTTCTCCTGTAACAAAGTCTTCTCCTCCAACATCATTTCTCTTTTAAAAGAAATATTACAGAAGGAAGTTTGCGGCTCACTTGCTAGTAATGGTGGCTGTATCTTGAAATCATAATTCTGAATGAAGTGGTTCGTTCTCATGGTAAGAATATGCAACTACATCTTTTGATGAGAGTATATATGAAGAGAGACTATTGGTAAAATTTGGTAACAATTTCCTTGATGCTAATGAGACTCCTAGTGGTTGGTATTTTCCTCTTTAGAAGTAAACTCTTGTTTAGTTTGCTGTAATTTATGGCTGGGTATGCAGGTACAAAGGCATGGCCTATTATTTGCAGTCTAGTTTATTATTCATCAGTCATCTGCATCTAGAGGGAACTTTTTCATACTCTTTACTTTAAACTACTTTCTCCTTTTATTGTCCACCCAATTGAAAAGATTATCACTGGTTTTCTATCTGTTTGGAATTATCTTTCACTTGAATGTATGTATTTTACACGCATTTTGTTGGGTCACGAGGGTAAAGAGATACAGTGGTGGGATAGGAATTGGGAAAAATAGAAATTCTTATTAAGATGAAATGTTGGACTTAGAGAATAATACACAAGTGTTTTTAATAAAAAGAAAATGACAACCATTAATTCTCTGAAAACTAGGAAAGAGCAAGTTTCATGACAAACATTGAACAAGAGATTGAGAATGTTTAATAACAACCGATTGAGAATGTCTATTTGTAGGAGCAACATTAATTTTTTAGAAATCAGTTAAACTGATCTTTTTGATACACAATTCATTGTTATTCTTTAAATATCACACGTAAGGCAGAGTTATTTATTTGATTCTGTTCATAGGTCCTTCGATGGTTGATTAGTTGGACTATGCAAAAGATGTAAAATAAGGCAGAGTGTTATTTATTTGTTTGATTCTGTTCTTAGGTCCTTCCTTGTTTGATTTGTTGTTTGATTCTGTTCTTAGGTCCTACGATGTTTGAATCTGAACTGCTTCCTTTCAAGCATTTTACCTTTTGTTCAAATTGATCGTCTTAAAAGTTGTTACACGTAACTTCTTCATATTTAGTAGTGTCATAAAAAACAAGAAAAATTCTTAGGTAGATACAAATATAAGAGGCTGTTTTGCACATAACTAATCACAATTTTAATTAATTAAAAAATAAATATAATTTTTTTTCTCCTTCATGATCACAACCATTCCATAAATTCAATTAAAAAAGAAATTAAAATTTAAACAAATTTAAAATTTAAAATCTATGAATATGGATTTTATGTATGTTTCCATGCAATAATTTCTCAGAAAACAGAAGATATCTCATAAATCCAATTAAAAAGAAAATTAAAATTTAAACAAATTTAAAATCTATAAATATGTTGCATCAGCACGACTGCACGAGATAATGATAGGTTGGAAGTTAGATATGGTTTGTTTATAACTATATTTCTGAAAGTTTTATATGTTGGAACTTACTTAAAAAATAAAAGTTATTTTTAATTGAATAAACAGTCAATTTTGTCTATAAATGTATTTTTTTCAAAAATCAATTGTCTCTTATTCAACTATTTACTGCTTAAAGACCGTAATTGAGGGACTAGTTCTTTCAGCATTTATCTGGGTGAAAAAAAATAAAAAGCAGTCCTCTTTTAAAAGTTGCTGTTATTAGTTGGGACTTTTGGTGTGTTCTTACATACTAGAGGCTTTTGACGAGCCATTTTTTGGTTATCAACTTTTACAATTTTTGGTCATTAGTCAAACAAACCAAACTTGGATGCATGGTAAAATTTTAAGGGAGTTTCTTAATACATGTATTATTATTATTGAGAATATAACAAATGTGAGTGTGGAGAAAATAGTTATATATTAGATATGAATATAGTGATTTGAATATTTATAAGGAGAAAAATTTATTTATCTATCACCTTAAAGTTTTAGGTGAACAAATAATGCGTCTTTCACAAAAGTGTGTTGCTCAAAAACAAAAAATTTCAAAAATAAAGATGTTGTTTGCTCAACCCCTCGACTTGTTGTGCTAACAATTATTAAGATATCCCGTGAAAATAAAATAATATACTTAGATTTTAAAGATGTATCTCAAACATACTTATAAATATATTTTCTAAAATATTCTGAAAATACATTTTCTAAAACCTAATATTTTCTAAGCATTTCTCAAATGATGCTATTGTTGATTGCATCTGTTGGCATTACACCGTATACTTTCTGTACACCTGAATAAAAATGTTAAGAAAAATTAAATCCTGTTCTGGACTGGGCCTGCCCGTGGCCCAATCACCAGTAAGACCCAATTCAAGCTTGTCAACATATCGTGCTGAGCAGTATATCCTCCGAGCACATCCCGATCATGGGTATCTGGTCGGCCACGATTGCTTCCCGCCGGTGTCCGCGAGGAATGTCCCCGACGAGCGCACACTCTACCCAAGCACCCTCCTCGTAGGGCTGACTTTCAACCTCTCTGGATTTCACGGAGTCCTCATGATCCCGGGAAGATCGCGTCTTTATCCTCCTTGTCTTGCGGAGAGCATCATCCAGATAGAGGATCACGTGCAGGTCCCCACTACTCACGTAGAACCTGGCAGTCCCTTTGTTGGGCCTGTTTGATCAGCCCAATAAAGAGACCTTGGCCCAGCGCTGGGGGCTATAAATACCCTCTCTTTCGAGAGGGTCAGGGATTCATTCATTCACACCTACATATATACTTGATTGCTCATTTCGTCTCTCACTTTGCCATCAGAGTGTCTTACAGGTACCCATTCCCCCTATCTCCTTCAAATCCAGCCAAAGGCCAGCTGTGACGGTCCAACTCTGATCAGGTACGATCAGTGGCGCCGTCTGTGGGAAACTAAGCTTCCCCTTCTTCTCTCCGTTTAAAAAGACAAAAACTAACAATCCTCGACTGTCATGACTGACCAAACTCATGACAACCAGAACGTCTGTGTCATCGAAGCTAACAACAACATCGCCGATAGTAATGTTGGCCTCGACAACGTCGACATCATCGTCCATAACACGGTCCCTGGCGGCAACATCCCCGGACCTTCTAACTACCGGGAAAGAGCCACGACTTCATCTTCATCAATCCCTCCTCGACTTGAAGAAGATCACACAGTTCCTCTGAACTACTCAACCGTCCAATTCCATGAAGTCCCTGTCCTCGTCGGGGCAGACGCCACGACCAGGGCACTGTTCGCGGCGATTAACCAAACCAACTATCTCATCTTTGCCCAGGGGGAAAGACTGAGAGCACTCAAGGACGACCGAAGGCCCCCTAGAAGGCACAGAAGACCTCAATCTCCTCCCCCTCGACAAGCGGACGAACGTCCCCAATCTCCCATGTGGAGACAGAATCGGGACATCTCTCGAAGCCCGTTGCCTCGACCAATCGGGCGACGACCCCCTTTGGAGAAGGAACCACTCGTCGATACAGAAAGGCGCGACCATGCCCCTTCACGGCAAGAACGAAGACCTCCCGGAGACAGACACAGGGAAAACCGTCAACGGTCACACCGCTCGAGGAACGCTCCGTACGACCAGGGCCACCGTGACCGAAAATACATCGGATCCCCGTCCCGCTCCCCGGAACGGAGTGACGAGGATGACTCTTGCGGTCCCTTGTCACAAGCTATCATGGAGGCGCCCATTCCCTCGGGCATGGGGAAGCCTCCCCACTTATAAGAGTATGACGGCGTCGCCGACCCAATCGACCATATAGACGGGTTCGAAGCCATGCTGCACTACCACAACGTCGGGGGACCAATAAAATGCCGGTTGTTCTCCACGACCCTGAGGAAAGCAGCCATGGACTGGTACAAAGGTCTCGCCCTGAGGTCAATTACCTCTTGGAGAAACTTGAAGAACCAGTTCATCAGCTCGTTCACTGCTTCGTGACGACACCCGAAGACCGAAGCAGCGCTCGAGGCCGTCATCCAGAAGCACGATGAGACCTTGAGAGAATTCATTAACCGTTTCAACCGGGAAGCCATCCAGGTCCTCTGCACGGACCATATGAAGAGATACCTGCTGGAGAGGGGTCTCCTCCCCGACACCACATTCAGAAAAGCCGTGGGCATCGAACCACCCCGAACGTTTAATGCCCTTCTCGAGAAGGCCAGAGCCTACATGGACTACGAGGAAAGAGAAGCGGCCAACAGAGCCCGAGACCCCAAAAACCTCGGATCCAGCAGCAATCCGCGACAAGACACCGCCCCTCCTTGACGAACTTGGGAAAAGAGAAGGGACGATAAACCTCGAGACTCCCGGGAACAAAGGGGACCCTCGGGACGGTTCACAGAATACACTCCGCTCACGGCTTCCCGCGAGCGCATCTTAGCGGAGTGATCAAGTACAAATTTCAAGGATCGCGGCGTCAAACGTCCCCGTCCAGCTCCTGCCAAACCCGGAGTGGACCGGAGAAAATACTGTCAGTACCACCGGAGCCACGGGCACCTGACCGAAGACTGCGTCCACCTCAAGGACGCCATCGAGACCCTCATAAAAGGGGGAAGGCTCGCACAATACCATAGAAACGACGCTCCTCGTCGAGATGCTTGTGAGACGAGTGAAGCAGAAGAGGATGCCCGACCATCTGACGAGTCGGTTCCCATCCAAACCGCATTCTCCGTCACAAGACCTGAGGACTTCTACGTCCCCGAACACTTGCAAGAACCTATATATACGCACAGCAGGTGGGAACACTTCCCCTCCGCCATGGTCATCAATGGTGGAGGGTTCAATGATTTGACCATAAATTCAGCTAAGAGGAAGCTGGACGAGTTGGTCGACACAACCCCCCTCAAATGGTGACCTTTGAAAAAGTGAGAGGCAGGTCAGAGCCAATCACCTTCTACCTTGAGGAGCTCTCTGGAGGGGCCCCTAATTCGGCCATCCCTTTGCTGATAAGGGAGAGAATGGCCAACTTCGACGTACATCACGTCCTCGTCGACGAGGGAAGTTCCGTCGATGTGGTGTACCCCCAGTTGTTTCAAACCCTGTAGCTCGACGACTCTCACCTCTCACCATACGTGGGGTCAGACCTGCAGGGCTTTAACGGCTCGACCTCCAAGCCTTGGGGATACGTCGAGCTCA